CCACAGTGACCAGGCCATGGGCTGAGTTTCTGGGAGGCCGCAGGGCACGGCCAGCCCTGTCCTTACAGAGTTCCCAAGCTTGAAAGGGAGACAGGCAGTATGGCATAAATTAAAACAGAATTTGCAAAATGCCGTCTGTTGACTGCTTGGTCCACAGTGGTCAAAGTGTGCGTGCAGGAGCCCATTTGACCCTCCCACATCTGCAGAGGTCAGAGCAGTGATTGTGACCCCATTCTACTAGGGAGGGGAATGCTCTGAGGGGTTACGTAGTTTGCTCAGTGTCACTCCGCTGGGCAGCAGAGCCTGTCTGAGCACTCAGACCTGGGCATCACGTATCAGGGTGGGCATCTCAGAGGAGGTGATGCTGGAGCTAGGTATTGAGAAGTTAGAGGAGTCAGGGTGCACCAGGGAGGGGAAGAGTACCGTTCATTCCAGGCAGAGGGGACTGAGTATGCAAACACGTATCAGCACGTTCGGGCAATGAGGGGTGCTTGGTGTGCTTGGAGCACAGAGTTGGGTGTGGATCTGACCTAGCTAGTAGATTGGGGTCATATCAAGCAGGATGCTTCTCACCTTTCTTGATGTTATCCTGTGGGAAGCCATTGAAGGGTGTTGGGTTGGGGAGTGACTTAGTTCAATTTGCATTTTAGATGAGTCTGTTGGGTGAGGGTGGGGGTGTTGGGGAGAGGATGGAGGGAAGGGAAGAGGCAGAGGCTGGGAGACAGTGTGTGGGGAGTAGGGGTGCTCAGCCAAGCAAAGAGAAGGGGAGGAGAGAAGGGGAGGCCTAATTTAAGGCAAGGCAATAGGGAGAAGCTGGGGTGGAGGAGGGTTCTGGCCTGGCCCTGACTCCTCATCAGAGCCAGGGAAGTGTCTGTGTCCCCAGGCCCTGCACCAGCCTGGGTCAGAGTTGGTGCCCCATTAATGTCTGTGGAATGAACGACTAACCTACCTCTGCTCCACCCCACCCCCGCCACCATGACTCTGCTTTATTTCAGGGTGCTGCAAGCCAAGGAGCTGTGGGGGTGGTCAGAGGTGGGGTCCGGAGGGCAGGAGGATGGAATGCCCTGGACACTGGCCTCGGTTGATCTCTGGGGTAGTTTCCACAGTGTTGGGGCCAGAAGCGAGGATGAAACTGAAGATTTTCTGTGGCCTCTTGAGCTCCGTAGGTCATCCCCCCATTGGTGAGTGGGTGCCTCCCATTTAGACTCTGGCTGTGTAGATGGACAGAAGAGGACAGACAGACCAAAGAGCTGCTGTACAAGGTCTTTTCTTTGTCATGGTTGGTTTTGTACACCTGTACTTAGCATTTGCGTCATACAAAGAGGGGAGCAACAGCCATGGCTTTTGGTCAGGTTCGGGGGGCATGAGGGGTGCCCCTCCCCTCCCCCCAGGCACTGACACATTTAAAGGAAGCAGAGCAACAAGGACACACCAAATGTGGGGAAGGGAGTCCCCTGCACGAGCAGGATGGTCATCCTCACGGGGTCTCACTGGGATCCCCGCCAGGGCCAGCACAAGACTTCCCAGTCTCTCCCCAGGGAAGAGGATGGGCTCTTCCGGAGTGGGGATATCTGGTGGGAGTCACATCCTCAGGCCTGGGAAACATTTCCTTCTCTGAGCTAGCATGACCCCAGCGTCCCTGTGCAGCTGAGCCCTGTGGGACCCTAGAAAGATGGACAGGTGGACAACCCTGACAGCTGGGTGCTGAGAGCTGTTGGGACTGGGAAGTCCACCCCACTCTACTCTAGCCACAAGCCTTGAGGGTGGCTGCTTTGTCCACCAGCTGCCCCTGGGAGGGTCCTGGGTAGAAACACTTCTGTCCTCTGTCTCTGTGTCTCCATCTGTCTCTTTGTCTGTCTCTCCCTTCACCCGACTCTCTCTCATACACACCTAGGAGTCTCTCAACTCACTGCTTCCTTTTGGAGGTGTACCCCACACAGCTTTGCAGTTAAGAACACCTTCCAGGAGCTTCTGGACCTGCGGTGGAAGAACACCCATGCTTGGAAATTCTGGCCCATTGCCAGCACCCGGCATGGGCAGATATAGAGGGATTTCTGCAGCCCTTTTCCTCTTCTCTAGGGATGAACTCCCAGGCACACAGCATGGTCGGGTCCTCTTCCCCTGACCCCTACACCTGCACACTAAAGGAGGGGGCACACTCCCTCCTTTGCAGCTCATTTTGTTTCCACCCACCTGCAAAGGACCGATCCTTCTATCCCCCTAACTGGGGTGCTTGCTCTCTCTTATGTTTGTGTGGATTTGCTGAATTCTGGGGCCTCTCCCCCACTGCCCCTGCCCCCTGAGTGTGTCACATGCACATTGCCCCATTTGTGTGTGACACACGCATCCCCCCATGCAATGGGTCACACCGCGTACCCTGGTCACATCCCGTGCACATCCCTTCCCTGCTAGACCATCACACACATGGTGTCCCCTCCCTCACAGTGCGCTGCACATAGACATCCTCTATGGGCCACATGTCAGCTTCTCTCCATAGTCAGGCCTGTGTCTGGGATGACAGTCATCTTGTCTCCCCAGACTTTAGAGTGATCACCTGGCAGTGGTTGGAGCCAGGTATGCCCCAACAGACATTCTCCCCCTGCTTCCTCCTCCAGGAAGACCTCAAGGCTTGCTGCTCAGGAGCGGATAGGGGATGTCTGGAGGAGTCCCGGATGTGCTCCTTGACTAAGCCAGCCAGCCCAGAGGGCACGGGGCAGGGGGAGGCGGAGCCCACTCTGGGGGCTGGTGGGGCTGTAGAGACCATCAGCGATGCCCTCTGAGGATGTGCGGGTCCCTTGGGCCCACTTCAGACACCTTGCATGGCTGGGTTCCTTGTGCAGCTGGAACTCCCCAGGCCTCCATCTCTGCTGCCCATCTGCACTCTATGCCCTGGGGCCACCTTAAGGTCTGCCGGCCCCTGCCAAGGAAGAGCCCTCTCCGAACACTTGGGGTCCACCCCTGTGTCCAGGCAGGGCTCGTGTGGACTGGGCCCTGCCTGTTTCTGCCCCAGGACTCCAGGGCTTTTGAGAACGACCATCCTGCCCAGGATAGCAGACACGAACAGACAAGCAGACAAGAGGGGTGCAAGGTGGCTCCCCCATCATAGACATAGGCACAGACACAGGCCCCTTAGGGGGCCAGACACGGGGCACAAGGGGAGGGGGCAGAGGAGGCGGGCAAGTCCAGGGAGCCAGAGCCACCAAGGCCCTGCTCCCCAGAGAAGGGACAGACCAGGGGACTTTTCTGGTTCCCTAAACATATGGATTGTTTTGTCTCGTTTTTAAAGTATTGCAGTCTAACTGATATGGCTTTAACTATTGGAAACGGACAGAGAAGACACATGCCTCTCTGAAATAAAAGCATAAATCCACTAAAATGGAAAACCTGCAGGATGCAAACTGGGGCCAGTGGGGCAGGGACTTGGGGGGCAGGCAAGTCGCCCCCTCCCTGGCCCCTGCTCTTGGGATAGGGGCTGGTGGGGCCCAGCATGGCTTCCTGGGGCACTGCCTGGGCCCGTCCCAGTGGACTTCTGAGTACCTCAGGCAGGAATCCTCAAGGGAGGGAGGACTCTAGGCCAATGACAAGGTCTTCTCTTGGATGTGGCCATCTGGGAGTGATGGTCTTAGGGCTGGGGATGGCTCTCATCCATGTTCCTGCTCCCCAACACACGTCTCTGTACACGACTGCCTTTTCAGACCCACACCCATGCATGCAACAGCCTGAGGACATCTGACAACTCCTTCCAACATACACACCCATCACTCCTGCGACACATATACAAGCTAACACAGGCAATCTCCGACACACACAGGAGATGGCTATCACACACACAACACACTCAACTCATATGCACACCACCACCTCCAACCTGCACACACACACAATCTCCAACATACAGATATGATCACTGACACACACAATCTCAACACACAAGAACTCTAATATTTACACACATATACACAGTCTTTGGCTACACACAGTGGGCAATGCAGTCTCAGGCGTGCATGGACACACACTCTCCCCCCGCGTTCACTCCATGCCTCCCCACCCCAGTTATCACACAGCTGGATGAGCTGGAGGCCTTGACAACCTTGGGGCAGGGGGATGTCAGCTAGATCCCAGACATCCCAGAGGAGAGTTTGTTCTTGGCCAATGACATGGATGGACAGATGCCTTCTGCCAATGGGAACTGGCTTCTCCCCAAGGGCTTGGGACTTTGACCAGGAAGGGTCCTCCTGGGGCCCATAGGCCTGAAAGCACATGGATGGAACAAGGTGGGGAAGGGTGGTCGATAGGAATGGGGACAGCCTGGCTACACCAATGGGGGGCTTCCCCATGGCATGGGCCATCGCTGCCCAATGGCTCCAAGTGTTTTCTGGGGGTCCTGGGCAGCCCCTTGGCTGGGCAAGCTGGGCCCAGCCTGGCAGTGGGGCCCTAGGACCTAGGTGGGGTTGGGGGGAACAAGGGGATAACCCACCCTGGGGCCCCTCCACAGATGAGCTAAAGTCCAAAGAGGATCCATTGGAGGGATTGGCTTGGCCGGGGCTATGCCTCTCTGGGAGGAGCTGGGAGGGTGCTCCTGGGCTGGGTGCCACCAGGGGGAGGGGAGAACCCCAGCCTCCTGCCCAGATCCTGGCCTGGTGGGAATTTGGTGGGGCCTCCCAGGCTGTGCCCTCACGGGGCAGGCTTACCCCAACTCCCTTCCTTAGGGCCAGGCCACTCAGCACCCCTGCCCTGACCTGGAGGCCTACTGGGGGTCAGAGGCCAAAGGTCAGCATGCTGGGCAGGGTTGGAATGTGTCATTACTTTGGCTGGCTGGGGACAATGGTCCTCCTGGCAGTGGGGAGCACGAAGGAATGTGGGGGGGTTTACCACACCAGCATAGACCCTGGGCCTACTGAAGGGGCCCCCAGTGTCTTCAGGCCTGGGTTCCGTACCCCCCTGCTGGGGAAAAAGCTGTCTTCCCTTTCTCAAGCTACTTGGGAGTAGGGTGGGGCCACATACACTGGGATGAAGACGGTTGGAGGGAGTGCTGAAGGGGAGAAGCCCCTGGCCAGGGAAGGGGGGCAGAGGCCAACTGAGGTTTTCCCCTTCAGCACTGAGACTGAACTGAATAAAAAAGAAAAGAAAGAACGCCAACAAAAAGTAACAAGTGGAAGGGGACGGGGACAGGCGGCCGGTCACTTCTTGAACATGTCCTGCAGTGGCCCGGGCAGGTATTTGAGCACCGTGTCCAGGATGCTCTCCTCCTCCTCCTCGTCTTCGTCTCCGCAGCCCGCAGGGATGGCTTTCTTGGGCCGGGTCAGGCTCCCCTCACATGGCTGCTCCAGGGCCGCCTTCTCCTCAGCCTCCTTCTCCTCCTTCTTCTTCAGCCCGTACTGGAGAGGGAGGGAGAGAGACCCGGCATGAACAGAGCCATGCAAACTCATAAACCACCCCCTGAGCCTCAGTTTCCTCATCTATAAAATGGGGACAAGGACGCCTTCCTTTTGGAATTGTGCCTCATCTTTAGTAGGTGCTCAGTAATCGAGACACCGTGTGTGGGGTTTCCTCTAAAATTCCTACACGCCCGTGGTAACTTATCTGCTATTTCAAAATCCCCAAAGATCTGAACACTGAAAGTTTTCCTGTATGTTTGGAGGCAAGTTTTAGCGGCAAAACCTGCCCAGAACTGATGGGAGAATATCCTACTGCAGTGGTGTGACCAGACACACACTGAACTGTTTGGTTACAGAGTGCAGCCCCGCCGGGAGTGATATGTAACAGTAACAGTTGCTCAGCGCACTCTGGTATTTTTCTAAAATTCCTAAATTCTGAATTCCCAGCTACTGGGCCCCAAGCATTTCCGTATGAGACTGTGGACCTGTGGCAGCAAACATTATCCGGCATTTACTAGTGTATGCTCTTGGTTTAATCCCTATAACGATCCTTTGGTTTGTGCTCGACTGCTGCAGGCTGGTGGTTTGAACCCACCCAGTGGTACCGCAAAAGAAAAGGCCTGATGATCTGTTTCCGTTAAGATTACAGCCAAGAAAACCCCAGGGTGCCCTTCTACTCTGTAACACGTGTGCTCGCCATGAGTCCGAATTGACTGGACAGCAGCTAACAACAACAACAATCCACCGAGGGAGGTGTTCCTGTGATACCCACTTTTCTGATGCGAAGAGTGAGGCTCAGACGAGCTAGGTTTTAAGGTGAGAACTGGGATTCAGAGCAGCCTGGGCTGGGATTTTGGGGGCGGATGCGTTTGACCTCTCATACCCGGTGCCTCCGCTTGCTGACCTTGTCTCTGATCTGCTGCCGGACCTTCTCGCGCTCCGCCTCCATGCGCGCGTGCTTGGCCTTGCGCTCCTCCTCCTGCTGCCTTAGCGCCTCCTGCCGTTCCTCCTCCTTCTTCTGCGCATCCGGGTCCTTCTCCTCCTCTCCCCCTAGCATCTTCCCCATGTCCTTCGTGGCCCCTGCAGAGGTAGGGTGGAAGGGGAGAGGGCAAGATTAGCCTGGTGGCAGGAGCTCAGAAGGGGGTAGAGGGCCAGGGAGCCCTGAGATCCCCTCCCCCTTGGGTGGGGACCGGAGGGTGCGGGCCTCACCTCCGAGGGCCTGCTTCATGACGAAGTCCATGCCGCTGCTTCCGATTATTGTGCTCTAGCCCACGGCTGAATTCGCATGCAGCGCTCTCTGCAGGCGTGGCTCTGGGAGATGTGCCAACCTGCAAAAGAGGAGTTGGGAGATGGGAGAGGCCTCTGGGCGGGCAGGGCTGTGGAGTTAGGCAGACAGAGACCTTATCCTGGTTCGGGACCAGGGGACCATCAGTCTGAGGCCGAGACCCCATGCCCTGGTACCCAGGGGAAAGGCAAAGGGCTATTTACTGAGCACTTGTTATGTGCCTTGGGTCCCTGGGTGGAGCAAAGGGTTTGTGGTCGGCTAGTAACTGGAAGATTGGCAGTTTGAACTCACAGCAGCATCACGGAAGAAAGGCCTGGCAATCTACTTCCATAAAAATTACAACCAAGAAAACCCTGTGGAGCAGTTCTCCTCTAACACGAGTCAGAATCAACTCGACTGGCAACAAGTTTGTTTTGTTTTATTTTTTGTTGTGTCAGACACTATGTGCTGCCAAACAGCTTCTACTGTCTAGTTTAAAGTCTTCATCTTAACCGTATTCTAATTTGATTGAAGCCAGGAGTATTGGAAAGAGCCTGGGATTTGGAGCTAGGCAGAGCCGGGCTCTAATACCACCCTAATTCCTTATTTGCAACGTGACCTTCAGCAAGTTACTTCACTTCCCCCGAGCCCCAGTTTCCTCCTCTATAAAACAGAAATGACAGTGCCTCTATTCCCAGGGCTACTGCAAAGATTGGAGAGAATTCCAGCCTTGGTCTTCGATAGCCACTGGATCCATCCAAAGACCATCACGTGCTTAGGGCCCCAGCAAGTCAGAGGCGTGAAAAAATAAGAACATCCAGCTTTGGTGAACATATCCAGACCTTTGAAATTAGACCAATGGAGACAAATTATTTTTATCGCAGCATACATGAAAGTTTTGTGTTTTATGTCTTAATATTTATTTTTATTTTGGATTACACACGGGGTGTTAGAGGCATTCTAATCTTTTCGGGGCTTAGGGCTTTGAAAATACCTAGCTAATGTTAGACGCTCAGCTAATGTTAGTCCTCCTTTCCCTCTCCCTAAATCACCAACTTTTTATTATAGTTTTTATTGTTATTTTTTTTTGCCCCAGAAGAATTTCTCCAGATAAAATCTCAACAGGAATTTAATATGCAAAATATGTAAAAGTGGAACTATTCCAATGGTTATGGTAGCAGGGAGGGGTGGAGGGTCTGGAATCTCTACCTTTGGCCTCCTTCTTCCCATGCTCCCCCTACACCCCAGAGGATTTGAACCCTGGTGCTCTAACTCTTACAGGTCTTTATATTTTAACCATTTGGTTGCACTGTTTCTTTAATGGGCAACCAAAAACCCAAACCAAACCCACTCCCCTCAAGTCGATTCCAACTCATAGTGACCCTATAGGACAGAGTAGAACTGCCCCATAGGGTTTCCAAGGCTGTACATCTTTACAGAAGCAGACTGCCACATCTTTCTCCTGCAGAGCGGCTGGTGGGTTTGAACCCCTGACCTTTGGGTTAGCAGCTGAGTACTTTAACCACTGTGCCACCAAACCTGTTGCCGTTGAGTTGATTCCGACTCGTATAGTGACCCTGTAGGACCGAGTAGCACTGTCCCATACGGTTTCCAAGGAGTGGCTGGTGGATTCAAACTGCCGACCTTTTGGTTAGCAGCCAAGCTCTTAACCACTGCACCACCAGGGCTCCTTTAATGGACAAAGCCACCACAGATACCTTTCTGGGTGTGAATAGGAATATCCATGAGCTATCCAAAAAGTGCTGTAAGTTAATGGTCAGCTGAGGCCAGGCCTACTCCCCAAGGCCTTTCATCCCAAAGAGCCTTGGGGTCTTTGTCACTTGCTAGAAGGAACAAAAAATCCATGGGTGTGTGCTTGACTACTACCCTAAAGGTTGGGGATTTGAACTCACCCAGCGGTGCTATGGAAGAAAGGCCTGGCAATATGCTTCCATAAAGATTATAGCCAAGAAAACCTTATGGAGCAGTTCTAGTCTGCAGCACATGGGGTCACCATGAGTTAGAATCAACTTGATGATTTTCGGTTTTAGGAAGAACAAGGGATTTTTGGGAAATGGCAGAGAAGCCAGGCCGGATATTACAACCAGGTTGAGTTCAGGGTTGCTGGCTGTTCATTGATGATGCATTTTCCTCATTTCTTTCAAAATGAGAAAACATATTGGCAGACTGAGATCTTTCTTTAAAATGGTGTTCAAGAGCTTATTTAAGGACTTCTATCTGATCAGATCACCTGACAGGTAGTGGGGGAAAAAAAAAAATCCTTGCAGGCTTTGGCATCAGACACACCTGGTTCGAAATCCTGGTACCAGTGCTTACTGGCTACATGTTCCCTTCAAAATGGAGGAGTGTTAAGGCTACCCTTGTACCCTTGTGAAGGAGAAGAAAAGATACTGATCAAGTGCCTGGTGTGTAGGAGGCACTCACAAAATGTTAGCCATCGCTGAATGCATATTTATGGGCACAAACCAAAAAGGAATAAGGCTTTCCAGGAAATGCAAGAGAACCCAACATGACCCAGAATTGTGAGCTTGAAGTTTGCTCAGCTCTGTCAATCTGATGTTTTCATTTGATTGAAGACATTGTGAAAAGACTGCATTTCTAAGAACAGGAAAGGAACCATTTAATAATCAAATCATTTCAGGAACCATTGAGTTCCTACTCTGTGTTTACATGGAGCTCAAGGAATTCCAGGTGGTGGTGGAGGGCGTAGGACTCTAATTTGAGATGCTTCAAATTGGTCGACAGGACACCTGGGCTTTCATTCCAGCCCCACCCCTAACTCGCTAGGTGACTCTGGCAGTTCTCTCGCCTGGACCAGATGGTCTTTTAGACCCTTTCCAGTGCTAATGCTTGAGGAATCCTGCAGCAGCTGAACTGTTGACCCCCCCACTGTATCCTTAAGTCCCTCTCCTCCCTTGGTTCTGCTACTCAGTCCTTTCCTCTCCCCCCATCTTCAGCTGCTCTACCTTCCTTCTTTCTCTTTCTCTCTGTTTCCTTTGCTGGCTCTTCTTTTTCCTCCTCTTTCTCAAATAGGCTTGTTCCCCAGGACTCTGACCTTAGCTCCTGTCCCTGACCCTTTTTCCTCTCCAACTTTTCTCTGGGGAAGCTCATCCATCCCAGGGGCTTTACTGACCACCTGCGCAGATGACACCCAGACCTCTCTTCTGGGATCCAGACCCCTATAATCATTCATTCATTCATCAACTATTAGTTGAGCACCTACTGTGTGCCAGGCAATGTATTATGCACTGGGGATATAACAGTGAACAAGACAGATAAAATTCTGCCCTCATGCAGATTACATTCTGGTGTGTGTATATGTGTAGGGAAATAGGCAATAAATAAGTCAATAAATACATTATAGGAGCCCTGGTGGTACAGTGGTTAAAGTGATTGACTGCTAACTAAAAGGTTGGTGGTTCGAAACCATCAGTGGCTCTGTGGGAGAAAGATGTGGCAGTCTACTTCTGTAGAGATTACAGCCTTGGAAACTCTATGCAGTCGCTGTCAGTCGGAATCGACTCGACGGCAGTGGGTAGTAAATACAGTCACCTTCCTCCTGGACACCTGCCCCTGCGTGTCCCATGGGTGCCTCTCAAACTCAACATGTCGTCTGTCACCAAACCATCTCTTTCTCCAGACTCCTCTGCTTTCATGCATTCATTCAGCAAATACTCATTTCACCCTCCTCCCCTCTAGTACTCAAGGGCTGAATCTATTTGATGCTCGAAGTTTTCTCATGCTAGGTGGCTTGTCCTCTTAACCTGCTGGAATTTTTTAGCTGAGCTTCTTGGGTCCACCCTAAAGTCCTGCTGTGCAATTGCAGCATGGTCCTCTCAGCCGCTAAGCAATCTCTCCATCCACCCGTCCAGACTCCCCTAACCAATCCCCACTTTCTCAAGGTCCAACCTCCTCCAACCCATCACTCTCAGCAGGTGACTTCCCTCCCACTCCAGGTGGTGCAATGGAAGGGGTATGGGCTCTGGGGTCAGGCACACCTGACTTGGCTCCCAAATCTGCCACTTTTTTGGCTGTGGGATGGTGAGTAATTGACTTTACCTTTCTGAATCTCTGGTTACTTTATAAACTGAGGATTCTAACACTACTTTGAAAGATGAGAACTAATCTATGGAATATGTTGAGTACATGATGGGTGCTCAGGAAATGGTGGCTATTATTATCAAAATGAGTAGTGCCAGCTAATGTGAGCTCCTGTAACCTCCTCTCCTCCTGGTTACTGAGGAAGGCATTTCCCTCCTTCCGGCTGGAGCCAGTCTATGTGCCATCTCTCCTTACACCTCCTTCTTGATCCATTCATCGCTCCCTGGTCCTCACATCTTCTGCCTCTTTTCCGCACGTCCATTTTAGCCTCTCCCTTCTGCACATCCTGCCCTGGGCCCTGCCTTTCCCTTAATCTCTGCCCTCTAAGTCGTGATGGAGGGGGTCTCCACTTCCTCCGCCCCCAGCCAAGCCCTACCGCTCTGGGATCTGCCTGCTGCCCCTGCCTGGCCACTGAAACTGCCCTAGCAAGGCCGCCCGAGGTCTAAACGCGAGACCCTGCGGTGTGCGCACAGCCCTTCTCCTCCTCCTCCATCTCTTGGCAACGTTAGATGCTGCCAATGACACACCCGCTCCCCATTTTTTTCAGCCTTCTTCTTGCATCTCCTCTTGAATTCCACGACACAGCACTCTTGCGGTCTTCATTCTGCTTCTCAGACATGTTTTCTCTCTCCCGTTTAGCTGGCTCTGTTCCTTTCCTTTGAAATGTACATGTTCCCCAAATAGTCTCTCCCCAGCTCCCCCTCCCCCTCCTCTCCCCTCCTCCATTGCCTCCCTTGGGAATCTCATCTACCCCTATTGGTTTGGTGCCCTTTAGCCACAGATCTCTCTCTCCCAACCTGCACATTAAACATTTTTTCATTAGTTTTATTTTGATCTTTTTCAAATCTTCCCCGTCATATTTGACAGTGTTTCATTCCTTATTTTTTCAATAACATGTATCTCTTTAACCATTTTACCTACTTATTGTATATTATATATCTG